TTTGTTTCCGTTTTGGTTTCTTGCCTTACAGTTAGCATAGTTAGTTTCTTATTTCAAATATTCATGTATAGTTACACATTATCTATAAGTGCTTGAGACTAGCCATCACTTACTCAAGTTTGTTGTGTAATAAACTCTATATAATCAGTAAATGCTTGTTGTTCTATTATGCAATGCCAAATAGTTTAACCTCCATTCTTGAGTTTTACATGGTATCGAAGCATTAATTAAAACACTCCTAATTCGGAACGTACGCTCCGCACCAAGCTCTTTCTTCTGAACATGTCTACAACTACAAATACATCCACTGAAACCAATCCCTCAACCACACTCACTTTTCAAAAAATTTCTTCTACATAAGATGGATGGCACCATCTCGGCATCTCCAATGGCTTGCACATATTGTTCCACTACTTCGAAGCTTCGAACTTATGGGGTTCGTTGATGGTTCACAGTCCACCCTTCCTAAAACACTCCCTGATGATTCTCACAATCCAACTTATAGAATCTGGTACAGGAAAACCAACATCTTTTGAGTTTAATTCTTGTTTCTTTAGTTGTTAATGTTGTTTCGACAGTTTATGGTCATACTACCTCCAAGCAAGTTTGGATTGCCCTAGCCTTCGGTATTCTCAACAATCTCGTTCCAGATTGACTCATTTGAAATGCCAACTGTAGACTATCTCCTAAGGGTCGCGTTCCTACAATGACTTTATTGACACTGTCAAATCCATTGCAAATCAGCTGGCTGCTGCAGACAAAAAGGTTGATGAACAAGACGACATCTCGTATATTCTTGCAGGTCTGAATCCTTCTTACAGCCCAGCCAAGGGAAAGGGTCCAATGCCAAAAATAAAATCTTTTCCACCAAAAGGCAACAATTTTGGACAGCAAAGGAGATCAATTCCTGCCACTTCTGGCAACTGTCTGCCACCCTCACCGGCACAACAAATGAGTGACGTTTCTCCTCTAATTTTTAAAGAAAAATGCCAGATCTATGACAAAACATGCCACAAGGCTCTTGATTGTTACCACAGGTTTGACTATTCTTATCAGGGATGATATCCACCATCTCAGCTAGCTGTCGTGGTTTCTGAAATGAATGCTCAATATGACACGCCATATTTTAAGCTATTTAATAGTGTGAGTTTATTGGGCCTCTTTTGTGGTTCTGCTAACTTTTTGGGCCGGTTTATTACCCATTGTTCTTGTTGCTTAAGTGGCACTCACTTATTAGTAACTTTAAGATGACCCGGATTGTGTGTTTTATTGGAACCATTTGTGACCCTTGGATTTTAATCTATGGCTGGGTTTTATTTTTGGTTAGACATTTTCTTGGTCAATACTTTGAATATAACATTGGCTTCTTCCATACGACACTTTCTTCTTCTTTTTCCTCTCTTGACTGCTCTCGACTTTGGGGCTCTCTGTTTCTCTCCTTTTTTGGGGGTTCTATGTGTGGGTGATATCCGGTGAGTTAGAGGGTGATACCGTGGGGTTTCTAGGCCTGAAATAGTGGCTAGGACATTGGCATCCTTCTCTAAGTCGTCTGGTAGAATCTGTGGCCGTTTGGGAGATCTTCTTCGATCAATGACCAAACCGATTCTTCACCGGGCATTCTCTGGAGTTCTCCTTCTCTTTGGATGGCGGATTGCAAGCGTGGGTTGGAACTATTCCTGAGCCTAAAAGCTTCAACCATTGGAGAGAAAAAGGGTGCACATGGGTTCGACCAAGATGGAAGGGAAGAAGCACGGTTGATAGGGGAGTTTTCTGTCCAGATTTAAGCCTTTTAAACTCTGTTGAATTCTGACTTCTGGGATTGATTATTTGATCTGTCATTGGTTAATGAGCTGAGAGAACTTGTTTATCCTGTGCATTATGTCTGCAATAGGCTATATATTCCCAACAAATCGACATCCTAACTACCTAGAACTCGAAACTTTCGATTGTGAATGCTTTCATGTGTTACGTCCATATCAGCCACATAAGCTATCATTTAAAAGCAAAAAGTGTATATTTTGGGGGTACTCTAATAACCATCAAGGCTAAAGGTGTTTGGCTTTCTCCACGGGCAGGGTATATATCTCACGACATGTTTTCAATGAGGAGTCTTTTCCTGCTGATCAAATTGATCATTCTCACGTTCTTGTGTCGAGCAAAATCCAGAAGGGTAAGTCTTCTGGTGAAATTCAACCAGTTAGTATAAATAATGTTCCTTGTCTTGCAGATTTGTCTACTCCTACACTCACTACCAACATTTCTCCTAGTTCGACCCAACAACCACCACAAAGTACTGAACAACTTCCTTATGATTTTAGATCAGGTATTGTGAATACTCCTAATGATTTACCACCTGATTCATCCACATCTGAATCCTTTTCTCAGGATAGAATTGATGTACCCTCCCCAGACACGCACCTCGATAATCATTCTTTACCAACCCCTACCACATGTTTGGCTACATAATTCTTGTCGATTCCACATCTTAGACAGGAAATTCCAAACCAAAGTCTTTTCCTGATTTCAAAGTCTTTTACTCCACAAGGCATCCATTGCATGTTTTAAGTAGTGTTCTTACAGATTGTGAAACTGAGCAATCTTCCTATAATCAGGCGGCATCTTCTCCACAGTGGTGTGTTGCCATGGGAAGAGAATTTGACTCTTTGATGCAGAATGGCATGTGGCCTCTCTGTCCAAAACCTCTTAATCATCATATTGTGCATAACAAGTGGGTTTATAAAATTAAACAAAACCTCGATGGCAGTATTGAAAGACTCAAAGCAAGATTAGTTGCTAAGGGTTTTGATCAGAGAAGTGGCATTGATTTTCATGAAACTTTTAGTCCTATAATTAAACCTGCTAATATCAGAATAGTTCTTGCTCTTGCAGTCTCTTTTAATTGGCCAATTCGATAGTTGGATGTCTCTAATACTTTCTAGCATGGTATTCGTGAAGAGGAGGTTTACATGGTGCAACCAAAAGGATTTGTTGAGCCAAATTGTCCAAATTATGTCTGCAGATTGCACAAATCTCTTTATGGTCTCAAATAGGCACCACGTCAGTTGTTTTAGTCAGCAACTACTAGAATTTGATTTTCGGGTATCATCCGTGGATCATTTTGCTTTTATGTTTCATTCTTCTACTCTAACAATTTTTATACTTATATATGTTATGATATCATAATATATGGATGTCATGAGCGCAGAATATTCTCTGTCATTGAAAAATTGAAGGACGGTTTCAGCATGAAGGATCTCAGGCCTTGAACTATTTTTTGGGCATTCAAGCATCTCGAAACACTAGTGGTCTCCACTTAAGACAGACAAAATATATCTTTGATTTGCTTCATCGTGCAAAAATGGCAGTTGCTAAGCCACTTAATTCTCCAACAAGTGCTACAAAACTATATACTCACGATGGTGACTTACTCCAAGATCCCACTGAATATCGTCAAATAGTTGGTAGCCTTCAATATTGTACTATGACACGCCCTGGAATTGCATACATGGTTAATCAATTGACTCAATTTATGCATAATCTACGCTCAACCCATTGGTTAGCAGTCAAATGTTCACTTCGGTGTCTTAAGGGATCTATTAATTTTGGACTCTATTATACTCACTCATCTATATTCCTCGATGCCTTTTGTGATCCAGAATGGACGAGCAATCCAGATGATAGAAAGTCCACAGGTGGCTATGGAGTTTTCTTATGCCATAACTTGATTTCTTGGTCTGCCAATAAACAAAATGTGGTATCTCAATCAATTACTGATGCAGAGTATCGCTCTATGGCAATGGCTACTGCTGAACTTTATTGGCTTAGAATAGTGTTTCAAGAGTTGCAAGTAGTGCTACCATCACAACCAGTGTTATGGTGTGATAATATGAGTGTCATAGCTTTAGCTACAAATCCAGTGTTTCATGGTCGTATGAAATATATTGAAATTGACTTTCAATTTGTTCGTGAGAAGGTTGTAAATCGTGACATTGCTGTAAAGCACATCTTTACTCATGATCAAGTGGCTGATATCTTCATGAAAGGACATTTGTCACCTCGTTTCATTTATATTCGTCCCAAATTGGTTGTCTGTCTCGTTCCCATCCGTTTGTGGGGGGTGTTGTGTGAATCTCTGCCCAAATATTCTCAACTACATAATGATTGCTGTTCTAGTATGTAATGCCAAACAGTTTATCCTCCATTCTTGAGTTTTACAGTATTGTACAAATATGCAATAGATATTTGAACACTACACCCTAAAATTATCTCACGCCAAATTTCATTTTCCATACGTTTTTTCTTCGTTATTTTACAGAAAATCTAACAGATAATCAACATTTAAATTTAAATAATTTTATAAATACTTTACAAAACTTTGTAGCTTTAATGCAATCCTAACAACAAAAAAAGTGTATTTTTAGATCAATCTTTCATAAGAACTCAAATTTCTCATTGTTTTCAAAGTAAACAATCATTGGAATCAAGATATTCTCATTGAAGATTATTAAAGATAATCAAATTATAAATATTACATATATTTTTTTAATATATGTTGGTGTATGAATTTTCTTAAAAATTAAGTTTTTATCTAGATTTTATAGTTTTTATCGTGTTTAATAGTTTATCATTTTTATGCCTTAATTTAGTGATTTGGTTCCAGTTCGATTCTATAATTAGATATGGAATCGATTGTTCCATTTCTAAAATTTTTATTGGTATTCAGTTCGATTCGATTCCCTTCGAAATAGGATCGAATCGGATTGTGCCCAACCTATCAAGTCTCCAAAATAATCTCCAACTAGCTCCCAGGTTGTGAAATAAAAATGAATATATAGTCTTGTTTTTGATGCCCTAGCGGCTTGTACCTTCAGAGTTCCAAAATTTCCCTCCGGGACAAAAGGAAATTACATAGAACAAGTGTTCCTCTTAATTCCAATTTTGACACTACATTTTCATTTTTATTACTTGAATTTCCCAATGCACCCAAATATGCATTTTCCGTCTCGCAGGGTCCGTTTGATTGCAAAGGTGAAAATGAGTGGAAATAAAATATTTTACAGGGAATTGATTT